TGTCAATCTTTGCTCGCAGCCATGCAGTTGGAAGGCCAGAACGAGAGGGGGGGGGGGTCTTTGGTGGCTAGGCCTCGGCGCGGCCACCCCCCCACCCCCCGCTCCGCCCCCTTCCCGAGAGGATTCATGCTTATTAGATGTGGCTGCCCCCCCCCCCCTCCGGCCAAGGCCCACTCGGACAGATACATATCTCGAGGTTTAAGCAACACCGGGGCCGAGCCCACCAACTCGCCGTGCAAATATTTGAGCACAAGGACGACCGAGAGGGAGGAGGAGGTCGAGAGAGAATAACAAAAGCACTGATATGCACCCGGCTTGAATGTCGAGAGGTTGGGTTAGGGGGTGGTAGAGCAGAGGCACTGTTGTGTCAACAATAAGGAAAACAAATATTATTTGACACTCATTTTGGCGGGACGTTTTTCGCACCGAGAGAGAACAAGGAGATTTCGGAGAACCGTCAAAAGGTGTGATCTGTTTAGATCAGAAATCTGATTTTTATATTTTGTGACGGAGACGGAAAGAAAAGACGTTCAGCTGGAGAAAAGCGTGAGTAGTGTTGGTGGAGGCATATGCCTGCAGCTTTTATGCCAAATCCGCGAGCTAGTTTCAAACTATGTAATAGTGAACTGGCGAAAAAGTAATATAAACAGTCTCTGCCATGCTTATGAGATATCGCTTAAAGATCGGACGGCGCGCGACGCCAAGCCCGGCTCCCACAACCGCCACGGCAGCAACATGCAAACGCTCGGCCCGGCCTGGCCCAGCCGTCCGAAACGGTCTGAAATGTAACCAAATCCATGGCGACTCACATCTGGCTTGTATATAATTCGTCGGGGTTTCGCGGCGCTTAGCAATGCAGATTTCCCTTGCGGGCAGCAGTAGCGTCGTCGTCGGAGAGAGAGAGCCAGGAGGAGGGGGGGGGGCGAGCCTAACAGAACAGGGGATAGCCCCCCCCCCCTTTTCTCGTACAGCCAGCAGTGAGGGGGAGGGGGGGGAGTGAGCCCGGCAGCAGCATCCTGGGCGTGCGGGGCCCTTCATAACTGTCCACTCTCTGACCTCGCCGACGATGCGATAAGCAGCTCCGTCTCGATGATGCCAGCCACGCTGATGGGCGCCCCCCAACCCCACCCCCGACAACATGGTGTGCCCTCCATACTGATGGTCCCGCCCGCATGCTGCCGGGCAGGCCTCCGCAGGGGGTGCGCTAGCCACCTGTTTGGCTGCTAATCAGCCGGCCATGCTCGACACTAGTCGGATTCTCTCTCTATGTTTCTCTCTTTTTCTGCTATGTACAGTACCACTGTCACTTCTCACGCTCCCACTATAACTCTCGCTCTCTGTTTTTTAGAGAGTCCCCTAAAGGTGGATTCAGAGTTCCCTAAAAGCGAACGTGATTCTCACGCAAAGAGTGATTTTCACGTCCGGCGTGATGAAAGTCGATCCCTGATTGGCTGCGTGAAGCTTACGAAGCGTGAAAATCACGCCTGCCGTGAAAATAACGCTTCCGTTTCGTGAACTCTGAATCCACACTAACAGACTGTATCTACCGGAAGGCAAAGTCTCGTTTTCTCTCCCTCTCTCACTATAAATCCTAGAGAAAATTGTGGTGTAAATTATCTCACTTGATTTCCTAAATTTCCTCGTAATGTTAATCCCCTTTAAATTGAGTGATTAAAGAATCTCGATTCAATAATTGCAAGGTTTTAGAATATCACTCATATCGAACAAGGAGAATCTCATTGTTTTCAAATAAAACACTTGCTGACTCTAGAATTTGCAATATAGCTCTCACTCACCTTCACACACAGTACAATTAACCCCACATTTAGAGACGAAACACAAATATAATTATGCTGCAATTAAACCGCCCTCGATGGACGACTTTTTGTTTTGGTCCTCATTTCGACTGTATGAAACTTTTTGCGGGGGAGAGGGAACAATTCGTTTCAACCTCAACCCCGTCCGTCTCGTTCCCGTTTTCCTCTCGTCTCCGCGCTGGACGATGACTGAGGGCCGGCGTCGCCCGTCCGGAAAACCGCTAATTTCACCTCCTAGGCTAACAACAAAGCTCATCGTACAAAGCGCATCAACCAGCAGCGCCCGCTCCCCTTCCCGTTTCGCCCTCCCCACCACCACCACCACGCCACGGCCGGCTGCCACCCCCGAGATAAATCGAGAGCCAACTAATTAATTACTTGAAATATAATTGTGCGTCCGCGCCAATTATACCCCCCTCCCTCCCACCAAGGCCGCCTGTCCCGGGCGTGAGCCGACACACGCCTTCCTGACGGACACGACGGGGTAAGTGCCCTCGCCAACGACCCCCCCCCCTCCCTCTCTCCGATTCTCTCGCCGTTTCCATTCCGTCGGTCACGGCAGCAAAACTTTAAATGATGCAGCCCGAGCGCTAGGAGAGGAGGGGGGGGGAGCAAACATCGTTTGCGCTTCTTGACCACGACCCCCGCACCCTGACCCGCACCCCTCTCGAGGGCCGTCATGGAGCAAATGCAACCTGCACCCTCCCGGTCGGGTTTGCGAACTACTCCCACCGGACGGTCCGCGGCGGGGATCGGTTCGCTCTCATCTCGGGACGGGAGCGATGGCCGAGAACGAGCAGAAGCAAACCAAACCCGACAGGAGCCTCTGGGAGCGTTCGGTACCAGGGTGGAGTGGTTCGCAACCCACCCGAAGCCGAGGGAGCAGGTTTCACTTTCACCCCATGATGGCCCTTGCATTTGCTTTGATGCTTACAAATTAGTTGTAACAGAATCCTTCACAATTCAAAGCTTGAAAATGCTTCGCAAGCTTACTTTTGTAAGCATGTAACAGTGTATGTTTCCTACTCCACGGCTCGCAACTCCTCGCTTCCATATTTGACCCCCACATCCCCATATACACGCGGTGCGCGTTGTCTGCAATGTGATGACCGGCTCCGCCCCCCTCTCCTCCGCCCCCCATCCCCGCACACCTACTCCCTCTTTCGCATACTCGATGGCCGACGCGTCGGACGCGACTGTGTTTAGAACGGCGGCGTGGACAGGAAAGGGGGGGAGGGATGGGGGTCGGATACGGGACGACACACGGCAGCTGAGCGAGAGAGACAAGAGGCGCGCGCGCACGTTGATTGTAAGTTACGGTCGTGATTTAATCACACGCTCGCTCCCCTCTCTCTCTCCCTCTCACACGCACACAGCAGCGTCCAACCTGGTGTGTACGGCCACACCGACATACTGGGAGCAGCACATTCATCATCATATGTCAACACGGCGGTGCCGCTATGGGTGCGGGCGCGGGGCGTGACGGGGCGTGGCAGGGCGTGGCGGGCGCGTGAGGACGAGAAGGGGCGGGAAGAGGAGCGGACGGGCGCGGCCAGCGGCAGGCCTAGAACAAGCTCGAGTCCGTCCCTTCAAGTGGACCGCCAAGGACTTCCCTTCCCGACTTCCCCCTCGCTGCGCTGCTGCTGCTGCTTCACCCACCCCTTCCCTCACGTAGCGGAATCAAACGCATCAGCGCAGACTACGCTTGAAGCCGCCGGCAACCCCACGACGGCGACGACCAGCAAAAAAACAAACTTGAAAACGAATGTAGTTGAACAATCTTGCATTTCTTTACAAGCTTTAAAAAATACAGAACAGCAAAATCCTGCTCCGCAAGGTTTGATTAATGCGACCAGTTGGTATTATGTGCTTCCGCGGCAAATCAGCCACCGAACCGAAAAGCTAGCGAAGGTAGGAGAACATTAAGGTCGTAAAATTAAAACCTAAGGTGTGTGTTTGTGGTGGGCGTGTGTATATAACAGCGCCCCGGTCCGGAGCACGCGTCCGCAAGCCTCCCCCCCCCCCCCATTTTGGCCCACCCCTTATTCCGTTTAAGCGCTCGCCGCTGGAAAATTATTTCGCAGGAATAACAACGCGCGGACAGCCAGCAGTCCTCTGCAGGCGGCCGACTCCGACCCGAGAGCCACGTGCAGGCGTGCGATTCCCACACAGCGCAGCGGCCGCCGCACTCCTTATTTGGGCCATTTGCCGGCGGGTGGGTTTTCACTTTCCCCAGCCGGCGCAGTGGGCGCTCTGGTGTGGTGGGTCCCCCCGGTGGTGCGGGCGCTCAGGCCCTATGGTGGGCGCCCGCCCCAGCGGCGGCGGTGGTGGTGGGGCCTCCGGTGAGCAGCGCCCCCCCTATGCCAGGATTCATAGTCGAGGATCATCGCTGAAAATTAATGGCGGAACGGGGGGGACGACGCCAGCGGCGGGAGGGTGCCGCCCGAGGTGGCGCCGGTAGGAGATATTGCGGCGAGCTGGGGCCTTGTTACACGTAACGGCGTTATTTGCCAAGGGCGAAGGGAAAAAAATAGAATACGAAGAAAAATGTGATACGAGAAAGGTGAGAGAAAAGTAGTCAGGCACGCGTTGGGGGATTTTTTGGGAGGAGGAAAGAGGGGTGCTGTGTAACCTAAGCTTGATATTCACTAGTAAAACCTTACAAAACAAATGCAAATGCTTTGTGCTGTAAAGTTAACGCTTGTATTACAAAGCTGCCAAATGCTTCGCAAGATTAGAAACTAATTAAAAACTAATTTCTTTTGTGAAACGTTGAAATGCCGCAGTTGTCTTTGGTTTCAACACTCTTTGGAGGTGATAATGAATGACATTTTAATAAAGATTGCCCAAAGGTTCCAAGAACTTAGTACCTGCTAATATTTAGTGCGTTGGCGTTGGACACCTGTTCTTCCTTAATGAAAGTACCAAGCCCTATCTTTACCACTGTTTCAAAATCTTGCAAATGCTTACCTTGTACTTCCCGAGGCGGTCAACGGTGCACGAGAGGATCGCCTCCCGCCCGAGCGGCACCGTCAGGTTGACGATGGGCATCTCGAAC